AGGTCACTGCAGTTAAAAAATGAGCAATGAATAGCAGTAAAACTTATGCAATGAAATGAGTGATGGTCCTTTGTCACGGACAGTTGGAAGCTGTGACAACTTACAATCATTTAACATTTTAATGTTTATAGTACCGTGGCAGAAAAAAAAAAAATCCCCCAAAGACTATTAACATGTCATCTGAATTATAACTGATTTCAGGATGATTTTTGTTAAATCTTTGTAGCTCCTTTCAAGCTCTCTGCTTGTGCTATATCCGATCAGGCAGTTGCTGCAGTCTTCTGCAGAAGCAGCTGCATTTCGGTGCTGAATTAAAGTGTTTCCTTGCATGCAAACGGCATTTTCGTGAAGGTCCTAAACACGTGCTGTATTACTGTAAACACAAACGAGTCAATTGCCAAACTGCTGGAGGTTCTTTTTAAAGGTAAGTCTGTGAAAATGGTTTTTTTTGTTCCTATTCCTCTGGCATATTCTGTGGCTGTCTGCTGTATTTTCTGACAAAAGTGAGTCTTTATTGTGTCTTTAGATTGTCAGTCTCACTGAGAAAAACACAGCAGTGAGAGAGAGAATTCGATTCTTGCTGGAATCAATGGCACAGTTGACTGGTTTCTAGGATCTCTTTTCTAGTGAGGGAACATGGATTAAGATAACACCGACTGATTTTGAATTTCTCTGCACTGGCAGTAACCGCATTTCAGAGAAATCCTAAATGAACCCTAGATTTTGCCCATAAACTGCATTCTGTTGTGCAACAAGAGAATTAGGGAGACTTTTAGGACCAGATTCAGGTAGACCTAAACAGCAAGTGTCTCTAGATTAGTTATCAAATCAAAACATTCTAACATGGGGCTTGCAGAAGAATTATGTCTATCTGGCCTGACAACTCGATTCCCTGAAGCAGCTCAAATTACACTGAAAAACTTATCTTTGCGAAAATAAATTAAATCCTTACAGTGAAAACATCTGATGTAGCTACCTAAAAATTTCATGTTCAGTCTGAGTTAGTCACCTAGGCTCCCTCAATAATCAGTGATAAACCCCAGGATATTTCTAAGTGTAGATCATTACTTCATTTTACCACTGGAATTATTTTCAGGGCTTCAGTCTCCCTATGGCAGGGGGTTGACTAAATGACCTTCAAATACCCCTTCCAACCCAAAACATTCTAATTCTTTGAATCTTGATGGAAACTGATAAGCACATCCAGAGAACAAATCATATTTCTTGAAAACAACCTCTAAAAAAAAAATGTAGGTTTGCTGAAGGATGTTAATTAACCTATTAAAAAATGCCCATCTTTTTGCATTGCTTGTAGAAGAAAACAAAAATATTCCTACAGTGAAGTATTTTGAACGGAGGCGTGTTTGGTTTTTTTTAACACAGAGACTACAGGTTTATTGTACATAGACATCCGCAGAATTTGGTTATATTAGGGTTGAAAGGCAGGGAAAGGACAACACACCAACAATTTGTGATCTCTGCTTGAGCTTACAAAAGCCTAGAAGGATGTAGAAGATATTGATACTTATGCTGTTAGTTAATAAAGACAAAACACAGATGGTGATCCTTTCTGTAATTTCTCAGGTTTGGGCTTCTGTTGCTAATGAATACATAAAGTATGGTCAGCAAATATACCTATACAGACTGAAAGTAGGATTCCTGGTTCTGTTGAGGGTGTGTTTTATCACTCTGGTATGATGAAGGATCTGTAGTGCACCAGCTGATTCCCATTCTACCCTGCAGTAGCTCCTGATAAGTAACAAAGTTCTCTGTTGCTGGTAATGACAACCAGGATCCTTACTCCTTCTTGGGAAGAGGGAATAGAGACACTAGAGCAGAGACACAGTGTGTGAAACTGGTCCTCCACCAGATGACAGGACTCTGAACTTGTAGAAGGCGCAAAGCTTTTCCAAGAGAAATGTGTGTGGGAGGCAATGCTCCAGCCTGGGACCTGCTGCAGAGGACCATGGCCAGATTCCTCCTTTTGCTTGCAAATGATGACATCATTTGCATGATACAATGACAGTCATCAAGCATCATGCAGTGTCCTTCTCCTTTAGTCATGTTTCTTTTCAGTCCCTCATTCAGCCTCTCATTAGAGGTAGATTTAACAAATTTAGCAGTTGCACAGCCCAGACAGTGAACTGACTGGACATCGTTTTCTGGGATATAATGGGAATGTTGTGAGCCGGCTACAAAAGCGGTATGGTTTCAAATTTTTGATTCTGTCCATTGATATCCTTGATATGAAGAGGACAATAGTATCAGAGTGTTGACTTTTTAAAAATTTTTTTTTATTTTAGTGTGACAGCCTGGACTTCTTCTCATGGAACTTGAGATTTCTATGCCATAGGTATTTTTATCTCAGCTATTGTCCTGAAGCTGCCTTCACAGTCAGTGGACAAAAGTTGGCTTTCTGAGGGAGTGACTCATCAGACCTATTTCAAATGTCTGCTTTCGGATGAGAGACATTGTTCTCTACAATTACCTATCTATCCCTCCAAAAATGTTGAGGGCTATCCAAATGGCAATTGGTCATTTGAATCCCACTCTGGAAAACACGTTTGCCAGTTACTGCTTACTTCATCAATGGGAATGGCTGATTGCGCTCAGACCACTAGAGAGAGAAAAGTAGATGCGATGGGAACAAGATGGGGTCAGACAAACTCCAATGGCTTTCCGTTAATACCTTCTGCTGGATGATTTTCTGTACACTCTTAAGACTCACTTTTATTTTCACTAGTGCATGGATTTCTGGAGGAACATTTTGACACACCACTTTTTGTATAACTAGAGACACTTCTTTTTGTATCTCTGTGTATTGCAGGATTACTTGGAAAGTTCTAGTCATGGATCAAGTGTTTTTAGACCAAAGACTCAACACAGCCTTCCTAGTCGGTTCTTTACCATGAAATGTTATTTTTTCCTATAAGACTTCACTAAGAACTGATATTCTTGCATAGGTGGCCTATGACTAAAAACTACCCAACTGTACAATTTCATTTCTTGTTTCAGCTTATTCTGAGCTACATCCACTACCTCTTAATATACCCTGCAAACTTAAGCCAAGAACTTCATTAGAGGAAACTGCCTACTCAATAATACATGCAATTGAATAAGCGTTATCATTTGGACTCCTGATGGTTTTTGCATATTGATTTTCCCTCAGCAAAATAAAACTAAGAACAGTAAGTTAAATCACGGCCAGACAGAGGAACAAGTTATAATACTGTAACAAGTTATTAATCTCTCCTTATGCTAAGCGGTAGAAAAATATCTGTATGTAGTCCTTTCACCATCCAAAACTGTGATGATTCAGTTTTACTCACTTTCAAAAGCGTAAGAGCAGAGTAACTTATGTGCATAACAATACCTTGAATATCAACTCCCTGAACCCTTGCTAAGCCCTACTTTTTACCACATTTTTCAATTTCATGCAGTTTTCAGGCCCTTTGCAAAAGAAATGTAGGAAAGAAGAACTCTTGCCGTTTTTTGTTTTGGGGGTCATAAGGCTTAATGTGTTGAAATATTTCATTCTAGAGAGAAGAATTTTGCGTGCTCTGCTAACAAAAAATGAACTTGCCCTGTGCTGCTGTTATGCTTCCCAGCTTGACATCTCATTTTCTAATATGAATTCCACCGTAGAAATAGGTAATTCAGTGGTATGGGTATACTTCAGCAATACAATTTTGAAGTCTAAAGGTAAAATTAATTTCACATTAGCTATCTGAAAGAAGATTGTTTGCTTTGAAGTGGACATGTAGGCCCCTCCAAACCAGCAATAACAAAAAAAAATAGAGAAGTTTGTTTGACCAGCATATCTTTGGTATGTATTTTAAATTAATTTGTTAAATTCAAACATTTCAGCATAGGATGATTTACTTTCTCTTTTTTTGATGAATGTTCTGTTTTTTCTTTATTTCATATCTACAGGAACTTTGAATGTTAGAGTCCAACTCTAAGCCAGTTTCTGTTTTTGTTTAGTTTTCTCAAATAAATGCATTATTCCTGCAGCACAGTTGGAAAGGAATAGAAATTAGAAAAACATCCAGACTTCAGATTGATGTCCGTTAAAATAAATGTTCTTTCCTCCTGTTTTCATTTCTGACTTTTGCTCCTGCATGTCATGAGGACTCATGATTTTGACAGCTCAATGAATGCATAGTGCCTTCTAAATGATTTACAGATGAATCAGAGTAATTACCTGCTTCTTGCATCACACTGTAAACATGTCATTTAGAGACACTTTTGGTTTTAACAGGGACAGGTTTGAGCCTCAAGCCATAAAGGAAGTATTCAAAAATGAAAGAAAGTATTCAAAAATGAGCTCTCACAGCCCAGAAAGCCAGTCATATCCTGGGCTGCGTCAAATGTAGCCAAGCAGGAAGAGGGAGGTGATGCTTCCCCTCTAAGATTTGGTGAAACCGATTCACCTCCCAGCTAATAAGATACTTATAGCTACCACCAGCTTCTTCCATTAAAAGATCTTTAAGATTTTGAGAATTCTTAAACTAAACCCATCCGTTACCAAACCTGGAACAGCCCAAATATCACCGTAGTGGGAGGACTCTGGGTTCAGCACCAAAAACTGCTTTCGCCCCTCTCCAGCTCTACTTATGCTGATGCCAGTCTGCATCCTCAACTCCCACTGAACCCAACAGGTGTTTTCCATGTGTGTTTCACTAAAGAGCACTGTACTAGTCTCTGTATTGTGGGGAAAATGGCCTCCTTGGGGAATAAACACATCATTGGCTGTTAGACATCTAATTTATTGCCTGAATTTGTTGACAATTCTCCTACAACTTCTTGTAGTGTTGAGAGATACTGAGATTTATGTTCAGTTTGCATATAAAGACACACCAATTAAGGTGTCTTCATATGCATACTGAGTCCTACTCCAGGTGTACCCCTAATCTCAGAGAAATTGGCTGCCTGTTTCACTTCCTAGACCTGAATTTCTTTTTTTCTCCATAATTCACATATACCGTTTTATTTTTTTGGCCCAAATGGGAACTCAGTCGGTAGAGCATGAGACTCTTAATCTCAGGGTCGTGGGTTCGAGCCCCATGTTGGGCGCCAAAAAGGACTGTGGTGGTTTGGCCCTGGCCAGAGGCCAGGCACTCACCAAAGCCGCTCTATCACTCCCCTTTTAGATGGACAGGGGAGAGGGAAGATGTAAAAAGAGGCCCGTGGGTTAAGATAAAAAAGCAGTTTAATAAAGCAATAGCAAATACTGCGCGTGGAAGCAAAGCAAAACAAAGATTATTCTCTACTTCCCATCAGCAGGAGATGTCTGGCCGCTTTTGCAGGAAGCAGGGCTCCAGTACGCGTAGCGGTTGCTCCGGAGGACAAACATAAAACAGCGAATGCCCCCCCACTTCCCTCTTCCTTCTCCCTTTTATGTCTGAGCTGACGTCATATGGTATGGAATACCCCTTGGGTCAGTTTCGGTCACCTGGCCCGGCTGTATCCCCTCTCAAGATGTTCTTCACCCCCAGTCTACTGTTGGGGTAAACGTTGGAAAAAAACAAACCAAAACCATAGCCTTGGTGCTGTGTGAGCACTGCTCAGCAGTAGCCAAAACACTGGGGTGTTATCAACACCCTTCTAGCTACCACTCCAAGGAGAAAAACAAAAACAGCCAGCACTGGGAGAGCTGCTATGGGAAGATTGACTCCACCTCAGCCTGACCCAATACACTACCCAACTAGCTTTGCCAGGTAAGGCACATGTCTGGAATTAGATGGTGCAGTTTTCGGGAGGAGTTTATAGTTCAGTTGTGTGGACAAGCACCTGGAGGTACTCTTCTTATCAGTCCTTTTCCTTGCCTTTCTGATTACCCTCAAAAATATTTTAGTCTCCCTGAATGCATGACTTTCCACAGCAGCTTGCAGTTCTGCTAATCAAGCCATACACTTTGTGCTCATGCAGTTGCTAGAATTGATTAGTGTGTTTCCTTTGCAGACAAACAAATCAAAAGAAGCACAGTGAAACACAACCAGAAAGCACAACCAAAACAAAAAGCAAGGTTAGAACCATCAATAACTGACTAACCAGGACCTGTGTGAAAAAAATTGTGGGAAATGGGAGTCTATGCACAACGAAATGCTTTAGAAGAGAAAAACAATTATCTCAACGTGTAACAAGAGTATGCCTTAACCAAGTGACAAGAGCAAAGCCAAACTGAACTAATGACCACAAACAATTAATTACAATATGCTGAATGACTGTTGTATACATTCTGAGAACATGTCTCATCTTTGTTCCTGAGACATGAAAGTACTTGAATCTGCTCCAGGTTTTTGGTCATCCAGCCAAATGACTAATGTAATTCCACCTCTTCTCTGCTAACCTGCAAACTACTTAAAACAGAACCCATTGTTATCATAATTGAATAAGATAGAGCAAAATTAAATACAGGGCTCCCAGTCAGTAGGGCTATTTCGTAATTGTCTTTATTACCAGAATCACTGATTTGTTTCTCGTTATTCTTCTGGATCGAGAGCTGATGCAGAAAAGTTCAAATGGTATGATTACAACAGCTGGTCATGTGGATATGATTTCTTGCTTCGTTTGTAAATGGAGAGAGTTTTGTTCACTTTCTAATTTCTCTTCTATTTATATCCTAAACAGTTTATCAGCACAATGATCTATCTGAGGATATATGTAAATATATATCTATATTCTGTAGCTGTATAAATACATACCTACATCTAGAAATGACTTCTATATCAAACTACATTTTACTGTAGGGGTTAATTTTATATCTGCTAAGCAATACAACATCTATTCACTCTCAGCATATCATGGAGAAGTTTGTTACTATCTTTGTGTATGACACTGATGTTATCACAGTCCCTGCAAATGAAAAATTATGTAATGACTGAAACAAAGAAGTTTCAGGACCTTTATAATTAAGACGTGCAGAACTGTGCCCTATAACATACTTTTCTCATCCTTTGTCATTGCCTTTAGTCCCTTTCATACTGGCCAGATCTTCCCAGGTGTATGCAAATCCTTGTGAGGCTGGATTGCATTTAATTTTCGGTGTTATTTTTTTCTACTGTCTGAATACCTTGCGGGCAGAGCCAGAGACTTTCAATATGAAACAGGGAGACAGGCTCTGTTAAACTCTGACATTGCTATTGAATCACATCTTTGTTTCAAGATTTCTTTCTCAGTTACTCCAAAAACTTGAAAAAAATTACAGCTCCTGTCTTCTTGCTCAGGAGTACAAAACACAATGTGTTAACATGACTCTTAATGGAGTATGAACTGGCTTTTTATAAGGTATTTATTTCCTTTGTTTCCTCCACTAGATCATAAGGTCCCATGGGTTCCTGTAAGGAATTGCTTGACTCACCAGTAGAACAATTTCCAGGAGAGATTATGGAATTTGCACATTGGAAGAAATTAAGTTATTTAATTCAGTCATTTCTCATTCTCAGAAGACTTGGAGGAGTAAACAAGGAATAAATGCCTCTCAAGAGTATCCACACTGGCGTCACTGTTGTTACATCAGGAATAAACTTGGCCCAAGATCTGTTATAAGTTATCTCTACTACAGACGTGCCTTTTCCTCTGAGATAACTCTATTTATAAGCCATAGAAAAGCAAGAAAGCAAGGAGGACAGGAGTCAGAATGTGAAGGGGCAGCTTGCTTCTGAGCTCTGTTACAACTCTTGCTCTGGAGAGTCTTCAGCCTTCAATGTCACCATTTATTTTGGTTTTGTTTTGTTTTCCAGCTGTAAAAAGAGCAGAAAATCTTCTTATCCCCAGAGCTACCGTGAAACTTAAATAATGATAATTTATGAATTCCTTTGAGGGAACGTCATATATGTGTAACAGAATTTAATATAAGTTCTGAAATTACGAGGACAGGCTGTGGGAGCTGGGATTGTTCAGTCTTGAAAAGAGAAGACTTCGGGGAGACCTAATAGCTGTCTTCCAGTACATGAAGGGAACCTGCAGGAAGGTTGGGGAGGGACTTTTTACAAGAGTGTCCACTGATAGGACAAGGGGAAATGGGTTTAAGTTGAAGGAGAATAGATTTAGATTGGACCTTAAGAAGAAATTCTTCAGTACGAGGGTGGCAAGACTTTGGAATAAATTGCTCAGAGATGTTGTGGCTGCCCCCTCCCTGGAGGTGTTCAAGGCCAAGTTGGATGGAGCCTTGAGTAGCCTGAGCTAGTTGAGAGGTGTCCCTGCCCATGACAGGGAGGTTGGACTAGATGATCTCTAAGGTCCCTTCCAGCCTAGGCCAGTCTATGGTTCTATGATATTGTCAGTCATAAAGATGTGAGGTTAGTTACTATTTTCAGTTGTTTAATGTCTGTCTTTTTTGTTTGGTCTATTTAGCCTTTAAGAAACAAGTCAAAATTCCTGATACAAGTTATTGACTAGGCAACACTTGACCTCAGTGTTTGCCTGAATATGTCCCATTGAAAACATTGTTCTACTCTGCTGGGATGTTTTAAGATTGAAGCGTAGCCTCGTAGCCAGAGACCGTTTTAAGGTTTGTGTCCCATTTTAGTCCCCCTTCAGTGCTGTTGCGAGATGAATTAGAAAGTAACAAATCAAAGGCATATGTTATCATTTTTTTTTTCTTTTGTGGCAGAACAGATTTGAAGCCCTGAATTTATTACTGGGGAAACCTCAGTGCTCAAGAGACCTGCTACTAAATCTTCTTCTCATCTACTTCTATGCAACTAAATCCTCTTTCCATTTTCAAAGGAATGCAGACTCCAAAACACCAAAAAGACACGCTGAAAAAATTTCTGCTTTCCCTGTATCCATGGCAACTAGCTATCCTGGTGACCTTTACAGGTGTCTTCTTCATGGGTCTGTAAATCTCCTAAAGGGCCAAATATCACTATTCTCCATGGGTGGCAAGACTGGCAACAAACTGCTGAGCTATACAGCTTGGAAAGGTTCCTTACCTACAGCACAAGTTGAAAGCTAGGTTTCGCTGTGAGGCATATTGATACTTGTGCAGTAAAAATAGGCTGTATATAATATTTTATATGTATTATATGGAAAAAATATATTATATGTATTTATTTCTGTCTAGCTCTTCCATCTCCACAAATAATTATAGGCTTAGTTAATACTGTTAATTGAAAGTATTCAAAAATTTAAGACACAGCTGATAGTCCTCCACCCTGTTCTTGTTAGTCAATAACTCTTTATAGGTAGGTTGTTCTTGTGAATGGGAAGATCCATTTAGGTAGGATCTGACAGGGGAATGTAAGGATTTGCAGAAAAGGAGCTTTAGGGTTCTCACTCCAGCACTTTCTTCTCAAACTTTGTCTTAACTCTGCAGACTCCACCCTGAATTTTTGCTAGGCTCTTCCTAGAAATTACTTTGATCCCAGTCACTTAAAGATTAAGATTTTTGGCACTGTGGATGTACTCAAAGCCTTCTAAGCACTGGTGGAACAGCCTTCCCCTTCTCTCCCAGCTTGGAGAATTAATAGAAGATAAAACTGGTAAAGAAAACCAAAAGTTCTCTTCTCCTAGGAAGGGAGGGAAGTGAGTCAGAATAGCACAGTGGTGGGGTAGGACAACGACAGTCATTCCAGCTGCCACCAGCAATAAAAGAAGTGAGAGGCTTCAGCTGCTTGCCAGGCAAGGCTGGCTCCAGCAGCACCCCATGATCTCACATAACCCATGTCCGAAGTGATGCCAGATGATTCGCAGCTGGTGAGCTTGGCACTCGCTCAGGTTCTGGCAGCTCATGTCATTCTATCCTCCTGCAGTGTTGGAATAAAACCTTTTTTTTTGTTGTTTGTTTGTTTGTTTGTCTCTCTGCCTCCAGAGCAGCAAAGTGGTGACTTTCACATAGATGAATAACCAATCTCTTTTTTATTTTCGTTGAAGAAACTTGTTGGGTTTTTTAAACAAAACAAAACACCTCACATTTTCCCAGATTATTGGCTTTTTACTTTTCTGTATAATTAGACAAAGACATGTTCCAAAGCTTTTGCCAAACTGAAGTTTCCATTTAAAACACTCCAAAGCTCACCTAAGGCCAACTGGTTGGCAGCACTTAAAGGATTCTGGAGATTTTCTTGGAT